GGTCGTGCGCCCTGGGTCCCGCCCCAGCACCACCCCGCTCCGTTTCGGTTGGCCTAGTGGCCCGCCTGTCAGAGACCGCGGCAGGGCGGGGCTTCCGGGAGCGGAAGGCGCGGAGGGCAGTGCCGGGCTGGGTGGCCCTCGTGGGCCGCGCGGCCTGGTGGTGTCTCGGCCCGTGCGGGAGAAGAGCTAGTGCCCCGGGGTCGAGGGCTCTGGAGCGACGGCTTCTCTGGGGAGGGCCTGGACTCTCCCGAGAACAGGCCGGACTCCCAAGGAGATAGAGACCGTGCGGGGAAGCGCGGCGGCGGCCGGGTGTGGACTGGGGCGCGGTCGCCAGGGTCCGGCTCCAGCCCCTTGAGCTGCTCCGGGAGCCTGGCGTCGGGCTCCTGGGCACCTTGACGGCGCGCACAGCCGTGTCCGTTTCCCTAGAGGCCTTCCCTGCGCCGCGTTGCGTAGCCCACCGAGGGGACCCGAGAGCGGAAGAGACAGCCCTCAGGGAGGGCGGAGCCCACAGGGCGAGCACTAAGGTCGCCCCCTGAGCTTGGGGCTGGAGAAGGCGGCGGGGCCTCCGGAGAGAGGGTAGGGCCCCGGAAGCAGGCCCAGCCCGCTCCAGGAGGCTAGGGGCCCCCAGTGGCTGGGGGCCCGACTGTCCTGCACCCTCTTCCCCGCAGGTGGCTCCGGGACGGCCGCCCCCGCCCTCCCAGCTGGGGTGGGGACGTTGGGCGTGGTACGGCCGTGCGCCCAGTATTAAGCAAAGCTAGAGCGCCTGGGCTAGGCGGGGACCTCTGAGCCCGCGCAACGGCGTCCGTCTCAATCCCGGAGTCCTGCTTCTCCTATCGCGCAGCCCTGTCCGGCCCTCCGAGGACAGCCCCTCTCCCCGCCTCCCCCAACTCGGGCGGGCCCTGTAGACTGCCGACCCGCCCAGCTCCCTCAAAACCAGCCCTGCAGAAGCTCACCGTGTGGCCTAATTAACAAACGGTGCCTAAAGAATGCGACCCAAGAGTTGCCATAGGGGTGTGAACTGAAGTTTCCGCCCACCCAAAGCACAAACGTGCACGTACTGGCTCCTTTCAAGACTATCAAAGACATATTTCTAACATTTTTTTAAAAATTTAAAAGTAAATTTAAATTTATTTACAAGGAAGAATGGTGCATTACGCATAGCGTTCGACCTGCCTCTGATCAGCTGGACCCAGTCGCATCCCACTCCCACGCCGGCTCGGGTGCTCTTCCTCGAGCACAGGCCTTGGCCTTGGGGGTCTCCTCTGCCCCACGACGGCCTCGACCCCACGCGTCCTGGCAGTGTCGGGCTGGCTGTCCTGTGCACTGTGCTACAACTGGAACAGAGCCCGATCGCGCCTGAAGCGCGTAGACGCGAAGTAAAGGCGGACGAATGCATGCGGGGGGCGGTGTCCCTTGCAGGAGTGGACTCTGGCCTCATCCAGGTCTTCACTTCCCTTGCCCTCAGGGAGTCCTCTCCCATGGCAATTCCTTTTGTCGTGGCATCGGCCACACCTGCAGGCAGAGGTAAATCCCGTCCTCAGGACGACCTTTACAGAGGCGACTCTCATCTGGAAAAGGCGGACGCGTGTTCCCACCACAGGTGGCTTTTGCAAGGGGCTGACACCTGGCGGTCTGCGCCCCACACCCCAGCCTGACGGTGTGTCACCTCCACCCGACCTCCCCTCCCGGCTCGAGGGGAGCCCACGCGCGTGCGGGGCCATACCCCCGCCGGCCTGCCATAGCAACCGTTGCCAAGGGGTGTGGCTCGGCCTGGCAGAGCCAGGGTGATTCCCGATGCTCATGAATATTTGATTATTCAAATGAGGCCCTGCCCCCGTTGCTATGGCTCCCAGGCCCTGCAACCCCGCGGCCGGAAGAACAACCCGGAATCCGAGAGAGCGCCGGGAGGCGGAGGGCGCCCAGGGCCGAGCCCCCGGGGCCGGGGCACCCGGGCGGAGCCCTCAGGTGAGAGCCGAGTGCGCCTTCGGGTTCCAGCCCTCAGGCTTCGCTATCTCTCTGGTGCCAGAGGGGAAACTGAGGCCGAGGGGCGGGCGCGAGGATAGAGTATCAAAACCAGTGGGGGACTCAAGGCTGTCCTGGGATGTCAAATCTGGTCCCCTGGAGACCTTGCCTACAATCCCTGGCCAGGCTCTGAGGGCTCCCAGTCACTGAGACAGGAGGGGCCCCCTGCCCTGCCCCTGGGGAGAGATGGAGGCAGGCAGCAGACTCTGCCAGGGGGTTCCATGTTGGGGACATGAGGGTGAGTAGACTCTGCCCTCAGAGCCCCTGCCTGTGTGGTGAAGGGCACCCAGAGAGCTCGTGAGCCAGGCCAGGGGCCGGCACTGTCCTGGGCTGTAGAGACAGATAGGCACCTAGGTTTCCAGCTCCGGGGGCCTACAGAGAGGCAGGGCGGGGTGGGAACCGGGCCTGCAACAACATGGCCAGGGGCGGGGCAGTGCACGAATGTGGGAAGTGTCTAGATAGGAGCCACAGCCTCCAAAGAGGCCCTGCTCCTCAGACCCCAAGACCTTCGGGCTGGACTGGACAGACACGCTGGGCCCAGTCGTGGGCAAGACCTCGAGCCAGCCGCTCTCAGGCACAGAAGGGACAGGGCGGTGGGCTTGGCCCTTAGTGCTGCCGGTGCTGCAGCCTGGCCCACCCACACCCTCCCCACGGCCTGATGGATGCCCTTAGTCCCACTGTGTCCCCTGGGAGGCGGCAGGCCCCACCCTTACTCACCCAGCTGGCCGTCTTCCTCATCAGCCAGGCCAAGTGCCCCATTGAGGTGATAGAAAGAACCCAGGCTGCCAGGCCCTGCCACCTCCGCACGTGCTCGCTTCTGGGCACAGTGGCCTGGGCCAGGACCTGACCAGCCCGACTCTCTCTTGCAGGTGCCACCTGGGGCCACATGCGACCCCCTTGTCCGGATGTTTGACCCACAGTGGGAAAAGGCAGCTGCCTCCAGGTGAGGGGCTCAGTGGACACAGGAGTCAGGTGCCCGAGACCCTGGTGCTGGCCCCCCAGGCTCAGAGACCACCAGAGAGAGAATGCACAGCTCAGCCTGAGGTCGTGGCTTGCTCCTGGTCGTGGCAGGCAGCTAAGCAAATGCAACCCGGGGCCAGCAAACCCAGGCTCACAGTCTAGTGGGACCTCAGATGGGGAGGCCTGGAGCTGGCACCCCTCATGGGGACCCTGAAGAATGGGTAGAAGCACAGAGACAGTGACCTGCCCGGGCAGGGGGTGTGAGCCAAGGCTCGGGGCGGGGACCATGAGACCCTTGGTCAGGCCAAGTGAGAGCAGCAGAGCCTTGTCCAGGCTGGGGGTGGGCTCCAGGGGCTTGCCGTGTGTGGGTACATGTTGAGGGCTGCACTGGGGTCTACACCAGGCTGCGGATCAGAGAAAGAGCGAAGCCTCGGCCCTCTGCTCCTCCCTGGCAGGGTAGACGTGAATGGACCAGACCTGGGACAGGGCCTGTGGGCCTCGGCCGAGCACAGCCAGTGTCCAGGTCCGGGAGCTGAGCTGGCAGGGCCTGCACAATCCCTGCCCGCAGGCCAAGGACCTGGGCAGCCATGGGGACGGCCACGGCGAGCGGCTGGTGCAGGAGTACCTGTCACCTGCCCGACTGGTGAGTGCCAGGGGGCTGGGGCCTGCGTGGGGTGACAGTCTGGAACCGAGGTCCAGCCTGCCCTCTGTCCCCGGCTCTCCTGGCCTGTCTGTCTGATGGATGCCCTTAGTCCCACCGTGTCCCAGGCACTCAGGCCCCGGGAAGGGCTGAGCCAACAGGAATTCCGCAACTGTTCGCTGCGCACCCACTGCGTGCGGGCCGCTGACGTTCTGGTGCCACCAAGGGCACACGCGGGACATGCCACACGCAGGGAACAAGTGGTACCACGCGCTGCCAGGGCCACGCCCACCACCTCTGGGCAACCGGTGTCGGCTTTCCCCCAGACCCGGGGCGGGGCTCACTGTTCCCCCCATGCCCCACCCTGGGGCCCAGCAGGTTCTGCAGGGCCCTCGGACTGCAGGTGCCCCCGGTGACTGCTGCGAGCAGCCCTGCACGTGCCAGCACCCCCGCACGCCCTTCCTGCCCACGCTTCTCTTTGCCATTGGCCATGGTGGGGGGGAGCAGATGCTGCCACCGCCGAAGCCCTCCCTCGCTGCCCCACACTTTCACAGAGCGAGAGGCACACGGGGAGGGGCTCCTTGGAGACACCTGAGTGACGTGCCCACACACGCCGCTGGCTGCCGGACGTCCCCGCCCCCCTTCCTGACAAACTCAGAGAAGGGTTCGTGCCGTCTGGTCACTGCAGGCGGACAAGAAACTCCCACCTGCCCGCCCGCTCCCGCTGGCCCTCAGCGTACGTGACACTGTGACACTCAGCCTACCTTCCCAGTCCCACCATCCAGCGTGGAACTGTCAGTGTGAACTGTCACACCAGAATCTGTCCGCTCCTGGCTCATCGACAGCCCCTGTCTGGCCCCAGGAAATAGAGACAGGCTCAGAGCTGTGGGCCACCTCTAGGCCGGCCAGCTCCAGGGACTTACAGCCCTTGTCGCACATGAGGTCTGGGTCCAGAGATGGTAGGCTGATGCGGGAGAGGGGCCAGTGTCCGCGGAGCTGGCGGTGTCGTCCTGCCCCAGGCCCTCCTGGAAACAGCCGGACTCTGGGAGGAGACTGGGAAGCTGGTGGACAGAGCAGCTGGCCAGGAACACATTGCTGGGGACGGGGCTCCTGTCCTTCTCAACCCCTCCCTGGATATCAGGTGGGACTGGGTCAGGAGCAGCGTCCAGCAGGGCGGTGACCCCCATGGCACCCTGGCTGGGCCTGGAGGTGGACCTGGCCTTATCACCTGCCCAGCACCACACACCAGGAGCCTCGCCCAGCAGGCCAGGCTGGGACGGACCAAGGACGGTCACCTGCAGGTGTCTTGCTGCCCCCTGGAGTGTTTGTCATTTCCTCTGCGCTGCGTGTTCACTCGCAGGGGGACCAGAGGGGATTGTTTGGCTGGAGTAGGTGGGGGCACCAGGGCAGGTGTGGCCATTGCGCCCTCCTCAGGCCTGTCCTCGGTGAATTTTGTTGACCTAAGGTGCTCTGCCGCAGTCCTCGCTGGCTCTGTCCCCGACACCTGGGCCCCCAGGTCGCTGAATCCGTCACGTACAGCCATGTGGGGCTGACCGCAGCCGCCCACACTTGACCCCGACAGGTATCTCTGCTCAGGCCCAGGGGTTTGCAGCCGGCTCTGCTCCAGCCGCACGTGGGCTTCAGCTGGGACCCTGGCTGACCGAGCCACATGGAGCTACCCTTGCGGTCCACTGTGGGGCACGGGCAGCAGGCCAGCACGGGTGCCCCCAAGGGCTCATCTGAGGAAGGGCTTATCCAGGAGACCCACGCAGGCAAACGGCCGGTGTGGCTCCCACAGCACTGCTTCACGGGGGACGGAGTGACTCGCCAGCCTCCCCCATGTGAGAAGGGGGCCCGGGGGCTGCCTGGCGGTCACTGTGGTCATGGCCAGCTGCCACCCGCCGGCCGAGTGTTTGCCAGGCCCTGTGCCAGGGACGTGCTTTGATGAGAGCCCAGTCTGCCCCAGGTGTGGGTCCCAGGAGGTCCCCCTGGGACCCCTGTCCTTCCCCACCCAGAGAGCACCCTCCTATATGCACGTGGCCCCCAACACCATTGTCGCAGGTGGTCAACGTCGGTCCAGGCCGCGGCCAGTGGTCCAGAGCCCCCATGCTTTTTAGCACGGTTGAGTCCAGTCAAAGCCAGGTGCCCAGAGCCACACCCGAGGTGGTTTCTGAGCATACTTCTCTCGTGCAGTCTCAGTCGCTGGAACCTGGGGTCTTGGGCTTCCTGGAGACTCCGACTGTCCCCTCCCAAGACCCCCTGCCGAGGTTGAGTCCAACTGGGTCTCAGTGTTCCCTTCTGCTGACCAGGTTCAGCCCGCACACCCTCCCTTCCCCTCTCTCTCACGGCACCTTATCTAATGCCATTCGCCAGAGCCAGCTCACTCCGCCCCCACGTCTCCCCACGTCACAAGTTCGTTGTGTGCATTGTTTTCTACCACTGTTTTACCAAAAACGGCACTGTCGCGTGACACGGTCTCCACCTTTCCAGCTCCAGTAACGCTCACGTCACCCCCAACCCAGCCCCACATCCGGTGTCACACTGTGGAGCCGTGTTTGTGGTGGGCTATTGGAGCCACGTCTGGGCCCCCCCAGTTTGCATGGCAGCTGTCGCTGCGGCGACACACCGTAGCCAGAGCCTGACCAGCAGTGGCCTCGTCCACGGCCCGGGGACGGCCAGGGCCCGCGGAGCTCCGCAGAGCTGGCCCCGGCTGCATCGGGTCCTGCGCGGGTCTCTTCCGCAGACGGGCACCCCCAGGCCAGGCGCTTCTCCGCCAGCGGCCCCGCCAGCCACGCACGAGTGGTTGCTCATTTCACGTCCACTTCTACTCACCACGCAAAACCGCCCATAGCCAAGGTCGACCTGGACAAGGCAGGGAAGTGTCTGCCACCGGCGCCAGGACCGAGGCCAAAGGCAGGGGTGTCACCGGGGGGGCATGACCGCTGTCCAGTCCCCAGGGCTGACTCCCCGTGGGTTTCTGCAGCAGGCCCTGGCCCAGGTGGACGACCTTCGGCTGGTGAGCGTGCTGGACGTGTGTGTGGACACCCGTGAGCACAGCCTGGGGAATTTCGGTGAGAGCCCGCCTTGTCCACATCCACCCCCACCAGGGCCAGACCACTCACTAAGGGCCTGCTCACTGGGTTTCTGCCTGCCGGGCTCTGGTCTTTGGGCCACTGCACCCCTCTTTCCAGGGATCAGGGATTGTCACAGGGCCAGGCTCTGTTCTGTGTAGGAGTGAGTGGCTCAGATCCCTTTCCCGGGGACTTTGGGTTAAGCAGGGACGCTGGCTGAAGCGTTTCTGTGCTCTGGGGGGCTCCAGTGCCACGAGCTGATGGAGGTGGTGGTATGGGGTTACTGGTATGGGGGCCAGGGTAGGTGGCTGGGGATGGGACCCAGGCTTCAGCAGCCAACTCCGGGGGCCTGGTGGCCTCCCGTGTGGCCGAGTTGGCTCAGGTGCACCTTCTCTGCCCTGCCCTGCCCTGTGCACTTCACCTGGACCTGGTCACAGACGGAAGCAATGTCACTGGGCCTCGGGGCAGCCCCGGGCAGTGGGGGCCGAGGGCGTCAGTGCCTCTGGAGGTGCTGAGAGGTGGCCTCTGACCTGTCCCCCCCCTGTGGCTCACAGGGGTGCACCTGCCCAGCCTCAGCCAACTGAAGCTGAACGGCAGCCGCCTGGGCTCCGTGAGGTGAGTGCCCTTCCTGGCCTGCTCGGGGTGGGGTCCTGCAGAGCTGAGGGGAGGTCTCAGGGAGTGCGAGGTCTCCGGGGCAGGTCCCCGTTGAGAGACTCCTGGGCGTCCTGCCGGCCGGCCAGCCATGGCCCTCACGCAGCCCTCCCCGCCTGACTGCATGCAGCTGCCATCACCTGCCCCAGCCAGCTGGCAGCACCCACTAAGGGTGACACTGGGTCTGTGGCCAGGGTCAGGCCAGTCACACCAGGTGGTGTGGCTGACAAGGTCCCCAAGGACCCACCGTGCTGTGCCCAGAGGAGCCTGCTGACCTTCAGGGTTTGGGGCGTCCCCGACTGGGAGGGCCAGGAGCTGGGGCTCTTGCTGGTGCCATCGGTGGCAGGGGGAGGAGCAGATGGGCGTGGCCTCTGTTGGACAGACCTCGGCCCATAGGAAACACATCCGCGCTCCCCGCACCACCTTCGAAGGCAGAACCCAGGACTCGGGACCGGGCAGTGGCTTCTGGCTCGCTCACGGGGCTGAAGGAACGTCAGGCTTTATTGTTGGCATTTGAGCGGAATGGATTTCGTGACAGCCCCCGGCCCTGTGCAGCCGGCCTGCCGATGAGAGGCAGGACGCTAGACCTGCAGGCAGCTCTCCAGGGCCCAAATGGGCTCCGAGTGCCGTATCCAGTGATTGTCATGTGAGGCGATAGAGGAATTTATTGAGCAACCTCACTTTAAATGTGTTCCTGATCTCTCTTACGTATACTGATGTTTATCAAATTCGCATCAAAAAGAATTTCATAAAATGCTCAAAGGTCTGGACGCAGAAGACTCTGGGTGTTCAGAGGGCAGAGAAGCCGGCTGGGCCCGTGGCCCCGTGTGACGCGTGTCCTGCGGGGAACAGTCCGGAAGGGGGCCTCCAGGAACGTGCCCTGAGTCCGTGCTTAAGCAACGCTCGGATGGTGGCATCGATACCTAACAAAGACAAAAAGTCGAAGTGACTCCTTCATGTTAAGGCTTTCAGAGTGGCTCAAAGGCCAATACGAGTGTATGAAAAGCGTATAAAATAAAGGATGAAAACTATAAAAAGAAGTGGACGGCATTGGAAAGTTAAGAAATATGATGTGCCACTTGTAACGGAAGAAAATATTCAATTCCAAGAAAACAAACAAAAATTCTATGAAAAAATGATGAGATCGTAAACGTTACTAAAAGGTGTTCTGTTCCCTGAAGACGGTGGCGAGCTCCGAGTTCTTTCTGTCCCTGAACCCTGACACTCGGCCACACGGCGCTGGCACATGACGTGGACGGAAACTTGTCAAAAGAGACCACCTGACAAAGTGCGGCCGTCCAGTGACCCGGCATCGTCACCGAGCTGGGAGGAGGGACGTCATGGGGGCCGGGGCGTAACTTAACGTCAGGGCCGCCAGTGCGTCAGGAGCTGAGAGAGCACGCAGGCCCTGGACAGACGTGTCACGTGCGAGGACAGGTGTCCCGTCCAGGTGGGGGAGGCCCAGGCGGGCCTGCCGTGCTGACCCCTGATATGGCACGGACTGTGCGGGGGAAACCACACCCACAGGCTCTGAAGCTCCACGGCGACTCGGGAATCATCCAAGCAACGGAAAGGGCAGTTCTCAGCACAACCTAAGGCGTGCATTTCCCCGGGGACCCAGCGTGTCAGGCCCCGCGTGCCTCGCCCTGCGCTCCGGCTCAGGCGGACTGGCCTCCCCATTGGCTCCGGGTCCCTCGCATGCAGGGGTCCCTCGCGCAGCCTGCGTGCGTGGCAGACTGCCCGGCCCTCCCCGCCCCCTCCCGTCAACGCCGCGGACACCTGAACCCTTCGTCCTGGTTCGCTCTGACCCGCGATTCCGGCCGGTGCTTTGCTGTCATTCAGGGGGTTCGTCCTCACCCCCAAGATCCTGGAGACATTCTGCTCTTTCTCCTGCTGGCTTTCTGGTCTCACTGTTCACTTTCCGGTCCTTCATGCCGCTTACCTGCGAGGTCACCTTCAATTATGGGGGGCGCGGGGGGCTGGTTTCTTTTCTGCCACCTAGTGCGCCCGTCTTCCCAGCATCTCCGCCCGGCGAGCCCACGAGTCCCTGTGGTCGCGAGCACGTCCCAGCTGCCCTGTC